CCAAAACCCTAAACCATAAACCATAAACCTTGGCGGCTGAGGGTTCGGCTCCGAACGCTGCGATGCATAGTAACTCGTCGTTTTCATCACCTGACCATTATAGGTTAGGTTTAGGGTTTAGGGTTTAGGGGTTTAGGGGTTTAGGGTTTAGGGTTTAAGGTTCTACACGGCTTATACAGGGCTTAAGGCTTAAGGCTAAGTAATTCCAATGTAAGCAATGGGATTTAGGGCTCATGGTTTAGGGCTCGGTGGGCTTGAATTGAATCTCCTTTAAGGGCACCCTAACGGTTCCTAAACCCTAAATCTTAAAATCTTAAACCCCAGACCTTAAACCCTAAACCCCAAACCCCAAACCTTAAACCCCAAACCCCAAACCTTAAAGCCTATAAACCCCAAAGCTTAAACCTGAAAGCCTATAAACCCCAAAGCGTAAACCTGAAAGCCTATAAACCCCAAAGCTTAAACCCCAAACCCCAAACTGCCTGGAAGGAGGGCGCCGGCATGTCCCCCAGCTTCGCTGGGACTGCGGAGGACAGCGAAGCAGGGCCCAGCCTCTGAAGGGTTCATTCATCGGGGTTTTGGGGAGATACCTTTAAAGGGTTTAGGGGTTTAGGGTTTAGGGTTTAGGGGTTTAGGGGTTTAGGGTTTAGGGTTCATTCATGGGGCTTTTTGGGGTATACTGTAGGGTCCCTTTAAATGGGCTTATGGAGGATATATAGGGGTATATAGTTTTTTTTTGGCGCGGACATATAGGATTTAGCATGATTTATCGTTTAGGGTTTAGGGTTTAGGCTTGAGGGTTTCGGGGTTTGGGTTTCGCGCTGAGGTTTAGGATTTAGAGCGTAAGGTTTGGGGTTTAGGGCTATACTGTTTAGGGATATCATCCCCAATAATGGTAAATGAGCTGAAAATGGGAACTGACATGAAAAGAGTGGTTATATGAGTTTAAGACTTCGGGGGTGTAGTGCTACATAGGCGTTAATATGGGTTATATAGGGATATGTTGGAGAATCACAAGGAAAAGAAAACACGTAAACCGATATGCACACCAATATTTAGTGTTTAGGGATAACGGAGAGTCAAATGGAAAAGGACATAGATGATAAAATGGAAACTGTGGTTATGTAGACACTTCAACGGATACCTACCCGCATTATGAGTACAAGGGGCTTTAGGGGTGGGGATTTGGGGAGTAGGGAGTAGGGAGTAGGGCTTATGGGCTAGGGTTTAAGGTTTACGGAAACCCTAAACCCTCACCCTGGTGGTTAGAAGATGGACTTGCGGATTGCTTATTTTGCAGTGCTAGAGTTTGAGGTTGCGGGCTTAGGGTTTGGGTTTTGTGGATTAGGGATTAGGATTCAGTTTCAGGGTTACTTCAAAACTTAGAGACTAGGAATGTGCTTTCTGAGCGGTCACGGCCACCTAAACCCTAAACCCTACATATCCTCATATCCTAAACCATAAACCCCTCTGAGCCTTAAACATTAACCCTAAGTCCTGAACATCTACCTAAACCCTGGGCTTGGAGCCTTTGGGAGGATTAGGATTAGGGTTAGGGTTGAAGGTTTAGGGTTTAGGATCTATAGGGTTTAAGGCTTAGGGCCCTAAACCCTAAACCCTAAATCGTGTGGCTTAGGTAGGGCTTTGATATTAGGATTTAGGATTTAAGGTGCCTTCTACGGCGACTGCAACCTCCCGGAACAAAAAGGTTTAGGATTTAGGGGTTTAGGGTTTAGGGTTCAGGGTTTAGGGTTTAAGGTTTAGGGTTTAGGGTTTAGGGTTTAGGGTTTAAGGTTTAGGGTTTAGCTGGCAGTACCAGCGTTCGGGGTTGGATTTAGGGCTTTGGGTTTGGGATGTAGGGTTTAGGATTTGGGTTAGGTTTTAAGGTTCCTGGTGTATTTACCCGGAAACCTCCGAAAACAAACATGTCGCAGTTTTCTTGAAGCCGGAATGATGGGTTTTGCTGCTTTCTTGGGCCTGAAACCTCTCAAAATGCTTGTTTGCTTCATTTGACGCTTTGGGGAACGAATTCAGGACGTGCGCAGTACTTTCTGAGAGGCCAGTGCCCATACGATGTCGAACGCGAAGTGAACATACAGTTACCCTGGACACGGCACCCTAAACCCTAAACCCTTAACCCTAAATCCTAAATCCTAAACCCTTGGGACGTTTCAAAGGTTCACTAAACCTAGAACCCTTAAACCCATAAGACCTAAACCCTAACTCCAAAGGTCACGCCGCGCGCTCTCCCTCTTGGTTTCCAGGCTCAGCAGTCGATGACTGGCCCAGGACTGCCCAGCAAGTCTCCCTTTTCGACGTACAATTGGGATAATGGAAAAGAAAATGGAAACTACTATAATGGGTTATATAGCGTTTAGGGTTTTAGGGTTTAGGATTTGAGGGTTTAGGATTTTAGGGTTTAGGATTTTAGGGTTTAGGGTTTAAGGTTTATGGTTTAGGGTTGGTTCTTCAGGGGAAGGAATAACGCGACTATTATGGGGTTGAGGGTTTAGGGTGGGGGAGTGAATTAAGGGACGATGACAAAGGTATGTATAGGGATCGAAACTTCCCCTCTCCCTTCATCACTGTAAGTTAAAAACCGGTCCCTTTTGCTGGGCTGCTGCTAGTGAACGTAGAAGGAGTCCCTGAACTCTAAACCCTGAACCCTAAACCCTAAAACCCTAAAACCCTAAACCCTAAACCCTAAAACCCTAAAACCCTAAACCCTCTATGACCCATTATAGTAGTTTCCATCTTCTTTTCCACTATCCCAATTACTACATACGATAGATCATGGCAAGTCCCTTTGATGAGACTGAGTTCTTTAAAAAAGCAGCCGAACCGCAGCCCTGAACCCTTAAACCCCTATAGCCCCGCTTAAGTAGATAGAATATGGCTTTGGGCATATTATATTAAGATCCCACTATACCCCATATTCTATCTACTTAAGGGGGACTTTAAACCTTCAGCCCCTGAAACTGGGTTGAGGGTTTAGGGGTGTAGGCGTTTAGGGTTTAGGGTTTAGGGGTGTAGGGTCTGGGGTTGAGGGGTTTAGGGTTTACAAAGCTTCATGGCGTCCACCCGGGCCCTTCAATAGGACGCCTAGGATGTGGGTAGGATGTGGGGCTTTGGGTTTTAGGGTTCAGGTCTTGGTTTTAGGGCTCAGGGTGTAGCGGCGTATGTTGAGACCATGGCCATTTCTTGCAAAAACGCCGGCCTTCCAGTACCTCAGAAAGGACCATGACTCAAAAAACACTCCTCAAAATAAATGAAATGGGATAACTGGGATAACAGGTATGTACATACATACCTAGGTTGTACGGATGGTTAAGGCAAAGACCCTAAACCCTAAACGCCTAAACCTCTAAACCCTAGGTTGTGTGGATGGTTAAGGGAAAGTATACCTAAACCCTAAACCCTAAACCCTAAACCCTAGGGTCAGGGCCTGCCTTCAAACCCTAAACCCTAAGCGGGCAGTATTGGGATAATATTGGGATACGGGTAGGGTTTAGAGTTATATAGGGGGTAATGGAAAAGAAAATGGAAACTACCATAAATAGGCTATATAGGGGTTATATTAGGGGTATGTAGGGTTTTAGCCCTGATTCTGAAACGCCACAACTCCCCCAACTAGTCCTAACGTATCCCTCTATTCTTATATAATCCTGTATGACCAACACTACAACCCTGACGTTGGAATCCTCATCCCTGAATGTTGCCCCAAAGCCTCAAAGCTAGTATCTTGGAAATCTCATGCTCCTAAACCTACAGCGCTGAATAATAGTTTTCATGTCCTTTTCCATTCCCCCCCTGTATAACCCTTCATCGCCAATATTCAGTAGTCCATATGCAAACCTAAACCCTACACTCCGTAAACCCTTGAACCTGGGTGTAACCCTATATCATCCCTATATAACACCTATGTATCTCCTGAACCCCAAACCCTGGCCCATAAACCGCATACGAAATGAGCCTCTTCGTCGCCACGGGATACCGGAGAGTTTGCTGGCCTGCCCCGCCTTCAAAGGTTTCTGGGTCAGGTTCAGGGTATAGGGATTTACTTAGGGCTGAGGGTCAAGAGCCCCCCCTTCCAGGAGTATACAGGGCGGCTATACAAGGATACTGGAAAGAAAATGGAATTGCTATTAAGGGTTTGCTTTTGGGGTTATTTAGGGATCTACGGGTATTACCCCGAAGAATGGAAAATCAAACTGAAAAAACACACAATGAAATCAAACTGAAATTATTTTGTGGCTTTGTAGGACTTTTGGATTTTCGGGTGGTACCCTCATCCGTATATGTCGGATTGTACAGCTGAAGCAAACATACATACATACATACATACATACATACAGACAGACAGACAGAAAGAATTCTCTAGGGAGAAAAAAGGAGATATAGGGATACATAAGGTTTACGAGTTTGGGGTTGTGGGTTTAGGATATGGGCTTTGGGTTTAGTATTCTTGGGTTTGGGGTTTAAACTTTGGGATTGAGGGTTTGGGGTTTTGGCAGCACCTCTCCGCAACAAACATGCAAAGGGCCGTTCAAATTCAGGATTAAGGAGCGGTGATAGCCTAAATTCTGAAACCTAAACCCTAAAACCTATAGGTTAGGGAACAGGAATTGGGGCTTGTGGATTCCCAGCGCTTATACGGTTTAGGGTCGAAGGTTAGGGCTGCAGGACTATACGACTTAAACGCTCAACCCTAAAACCTAGCTTAAAGCTTCAGTGTGCAGTGTTTGGCTTACATTGCCCAATGCAAGCATGGAAATCCATAGGGGTTCTATTTCAACCGACCCTGTTTTTCGTAGGATGCGGCTAAAGATTCAGGGCACCATGCACTACCAAAACTTCCACGTAGCCCTGTATCCCAATGAGTAACCATACGTTGCTGAACCCCTAGGGTTTTGGACGTCACGTTTAAGGTTCCAGATTGAATTTAAAGCCATGCCACCGTACAGATCCCTGCTGTTCTTGGGGACTTTCTTGATGTTTCCTAGACCTTGAACCACAAGCCAAGAGGTTACAATTTTTGCCCTCAATTCTAGACCTTGAACCCAACCCGAAACCCTGATCCCTTGACTTTAAAGAAGATTCATTGGAATAGGCCTGCCTCGTCATTACAAGTGAGCGCTGCTGCAAGCAGGAAAGTTGCCGTCGGACGGCAAACCACCAGCCAGTTTAGGCTTGAGGGTTTAAGTTTAAGCGCTCATAGTTTATGGCTGTCCAACTGATGTCCTTGCCAAATCTTGTTGCAAGAGCTCTTTGCCTCATTCAGAAAGCCGACTGAATAGCAACTATCAACGCAGGCCTTTTTGGAAATGTGCGGATTCGCTAGCTTTGCGCATCATGTCATCATCCGCTGATCAAAAGTGGTAGGGCCCTCCTCCCTTAAGATCCCGTGACGGCATTTCAGATGCATGGTGAAACTTGAATATGACACCTGCGCTACCGCCGTAACAAACAACTTTCTTCGGAGCCCTCCTCAGCGCTTCTTAGC